GTGAAAACAATAGAACAAGGGGTCATAAATTCAAATTTTGGCAGCATAGGAGACATCTGCAGTTTAGACAGTATTACTTTTCAAACAGGGTGGTTGGTTTTTGGAATGAGCTGCCTTCAAGAGTGGGAGAGGCAGAAAATTTAACTGAGTTAAAGAAACAATTGGATGAATACATGAGTAGTAAGGGGAGGTTATATTTTGGAGTTGGGACATCCTTGATGGGCTAATAAGCTCCTTTTTGTCCCTTTAAAATTATATGAATTTATGAATTTTATATTTTACAGATGCTAAATAAACATAATAATTGTAGCGTAAATAATGTTATCATTACCCCTTGAAGTTAACTTTCTTACACGGTAAAACAGGAATTGATTGACATATGCCACGTCTCAATTAACTCCAGAGGTGAGTTTGACCACTCTTTTAAGAGTGGTCCACAACTATGGAATTTCTCAAGGATTTATCTAGCCAAGTTTGATGCCATCCATTCAACTAAATTCACTGTGTTGGCTAAAAAAAGGGATGAAGAGAAAACATTTCTGAGCACCCAGGGTTGTCTTTCATGCCCAAAATTCTTTAAGGCTTGAAAGATATTAAACCTAAATTCCTGCTGCAAATTTTGATTGAAACAGGAATTACCAGCCAATAATACATGAACATTAGATGACTGTAACATGTAGATACTCAATGCTTTGTACAGTATACAATCGGTGTCTTTTGGGAGCCAACCCCTATATTATGTATGAAGGGAAGGAGTAAAAATAAAAATCAATACATATAATAATAAATTTTATCACACATACATTCACAGTATAATTACTTTAAAAGACATGTAGGTTTATTGAAAGGGATGTTTTAGATGTATATGTTTAATTTGAAAAGGCAATTTTTCTACTGGTAAAATTTTACATGTACTTATTGGTGGTTGTCACGCAGTATCATGTTACCAGGTAAAGCAATAAATCACTGACAATTTGTTAATATTGTTCCAATGGGAAGGCAGCATGGAGTGAAAGGTCAATTTACAAGTATGATTTTTTAATTGTTTTTCATTAATTATGAACTACATAATTGAACTTGCAATATAAATCTACTACTTTGTGACTGTGGAATCCAATGGTGTGTGAATTGTTTTTTTTTTCATTATTTAAAAATCAATGAAATCCCCTAATAATAATAAGCAAAAAAGGAGTAACTAGAATTGGAGGTAATGGGAAAAGGGAAGAGTTTGAAATGGAAGCCTTTTTTACTTCTTTCTAATTTCTATTGCTAAAAATTCTAATAGAAGTGCTTGTTTTCATAAAAATGAATCAATAGCAATAAAAATTTAGTTTGAAACCAAATTCTATACATTTTGTATCAACAGTGAAACTTTTATGTAATTTTATAAAAATTAAAGCCCTCTGTCATAGAATTGCCCTTATAAGTTATATTAAACAGGATAGCCTAATGCCCTAAGTGAGCTAAATGACCCTTTGTTATTCCTTGGAAATGAAATATAATACATACCTCTTCAAGTTCTTCTTCTGTCCACATTTCAAATGGTCTGTCATATTCATCACCACTGTTGTAGCCAGAGTGATCTTTGTTTTCTGGAACTTTCAATAATGGCACCACTATTTGGTTATTCTGCCTTTCTTGAGATGCATTATGACTAGTTTGCGAAGTTCCAGGATTAGAAAAATTCTGAGTTCCACTGGATCTATGAAGACTAATTGTTGTAAGAGTATGACTATGACCATGAGAATGTGACTTCCGAATACTAATCGGAATAGTAGTTCGATGGGGAGAAGCTCGATGACGTCGTTTGGAATGACTTGGTCCACCATCTACACTATCAAATTCATCAAAATTGGAACTAGGAGAGTGAGTCGGCCTTTTATCTTCTCTTGTTGACGGCGGAGGCCACTTTGGAGGGGAAGTTCTTCCGGGAAATGTAAAGCGTTCTCTATTTTCTTGAGAATGAGTCTGATGTCCATGACGATCGCCATGATACGAATGTGCATGAGTATGAGATTGAGAGATAGGGTCAGAAACTTCCCCTTCATTTTTCGATTGTCCAGACTTCTTTTTGGGTAAAATTGTCATCTTTAATATACGATTATGTTATTTTTCCCATCAAAACACTGAGAATGTTTTCTAATTGTTACAAAAAATCACAAGAAATACTTTTTTCTTTGAGGTTCTCGATAAGCTCACTGCACAATTCTCATTCGAATATGGCGACTATTTTAACAAGTGACGTCATTTTCGCACATGCTCCCAAATACTTCAGAGATCAACTTTCATTACGACGTGATCTAAAACTACACTATATATATATATTTTTACCACACTAATTAGAAGTACAAAATGCTAAATTACTGGATATATATATGTAAATTAAAATTCCGATATTTGCTAACTACTTCTGATTTATATAAACAATGGAATCGACCATAATTTTACAGAGCATTTGTTAACTTGTCTTGGAAGTGTGCTGTTGAACTGGAAGAGTTAGATAATAGAAAATAAGCGTACATTTTTAACTATTTTGCAACGCAACATCAACCTTGGACTGATGGATGATGTACTGTTTGCAATTCTAGCAGATGCACAGCGAGTGGTTTACGAAGGTAATATTGTTTTCGAAATATGACAGTGGCAATATAAAAACTGAAAGTACATAAGATTAAAATCATTCATGTCCACTGTGCTTGATTATCCGAATTATATTTTAAATTTTTCATAAAAAGCAATAAGTAACGTGACTTAAAAGCATCTCGCTTGATATAAAATTGTCTATCTTGAAAGTATTGTTACGTCTCTGGTCGTTTGTTAATTTCTCGTATAATTTCTTTCGGATGAAACTTTAGCGACACAAGTCCTTTCTTAAATAAAACTAGTTTATTCTTTCTCAATACAACTTTACAATAAACTTAATTTCCACAGTCCCTTTAACTTAAACACACGCTATAATTCACAACGATTCACGCACTTTCCTTACGGTCACTCCGCGTTTGACTCAATTGTCCGTCTTTGTCTGTCTGCAATTTTATTCTCTGATTAATTAATTTCGCTTTATCTGGCGCACTTATATACAAGAAGAGAGAGCGCGTAGAAAATACCAGAGTTGTCACGAACAGACATGATCCCTCTAGAATATCATGACGTGTTACTAGCGTCACGTGACTTCCGCTGTCGTAACAATAATAATAAAAAATTTTCATTGTGGTAAACGAAATAATAATTTGATCTAAATAAGTTTTTCTTCCCGATCTGCAAAAAATCCTTACGTGATAGAAAAAAAATAATATTGTTTTCGAAATCTGCGTAGCTGAATTATGAAAACTCTGTTATTAAAACCAAAACAACTTTTATGAAGTTTAAATTCGCAGGACTATGTAATTATGTCAGATTTTCGACCAATACTTCCTATACATATTTTAAAGTTATCAAATATTTGATACCAAAATGTTTTTGAAATATAATAGTTGAAATGTTTTACATATCAGCATTATGATTACCTTTGGTCTCGTGCCAGTCAGTCTTCATGGAATGAATTTACTGAATCTGTCCACTCCACTTCAAAAGTGAACATCATATCCGTTCCACCTATTACAAAGGCCGTTAGGTTCATATAATGTTTGGACCCCCCCCCCCCCCAGTTGCTCAGTGCGTAAGTCTATAAACTTATAACATAAAAAAGCGGGGTTCGATACCCGTGATAAGCGGTTGTTGAAGTATTCCACATTTTTACGAATTTGTCGACCTCCGGTGGAACAGCGGTAAATCTTTGGATTTACGAATGGGTTCGATTCCCCTCGGTGGACACAACAGATGTGTGGGTTTGCTCTAAAAAACAACAACAACACACACACATTTAATTTAGTTTTCACGTTTGTAAGTGTGCACCTGAGTATTGCTTTTTCAACGTAAAGTGGTATTTTCAGGAGTTTTTCTTTTGTTAAAGGGCTTATTTTTGTGATCATTTCATTCGTAGGTTTATCATGTAATCAAAAGGACCTTTCCAATTATGTATTATTATTATGTACATTTTGAAATTACAGTTTTGAAACAAACGATGGTTTGCTTTTAATGTTTATATTTTTTATTGTGAGTAAATAATGAGTTTTGTATTGTTGTAATTTAATAAAGGATTCTGTGACGTCTGTGTGACGTGTAAGTGTTTTTAGAACTATATTAATGTTAATACTACATGGCCAGGTGGTTAAGGCGCTCGACTCGCAATCTGCGGGTTCGAATTCCCGTCACACCAAACATACTTGACCATCTCGCGAGTTTAAAATTTAATTTAATTGTTGGTTTGGGACTAGATTTGAAGAGTGAGAAAGTGTGATAACATATATTTTCAACTTGCTTTAGCTATATAGACATTGTAAAGTATTTTTGGTTGTTTAGTTTCTATGTCGAAATGGCAGCAATACGTGGTTTAGAAAGTCGCTGCTTTGTTCTAGTTCAGGTTGAAAGGATTAGAACTATAATATCCGTCCAGGCTGAGTTGCCTTTCCCAAGTGCAGGTGACCAATGTTGTAAGATAATAAAAGTCACGAGATGATGCTGTCAATTGGACAAAGAAAACGAATTTACCCGTTGAATTTAAACACACTTTCTTTAGTCAGTTTCTACCAGAATATCGTGACGATTTATTTAAAGAACATGTTTTAAATATACAAAAATTAATCCTGAGGGAGAGAAAGTTGTGGAGCTAAACACAGCTTTGTAGAAGCGACCATCATTCCAAAGTTGTGAAGTTAAACACAGCTTTGTAGAAGCGACTATCATTCCAAAGTTGTGAAGCTAAACACAGCTTTGTAGAAGAGACTATCATTCTGAAG